TTCCACCTAAATTAACTTATGTGGACCTGAGTGAAAACTATATTACAATACCCCTGGTGGCCAGGGTGAGAACTTCAATACATAACACAGTCAATCCCTCTTCTAGGGGACACCGGGGATTGCGGTCTCCTAACAACTCTCAGCCTCCTAAAGAGACCGCAGTTCCCAGGATTCCTGAGTGGAAGCCATGGACGTTTAGAATAGTATGATACTGCTTTCAGTGTTTAGTGTGGAACAGCTGGCGCCTGGGGCAGGGGCACGCCAAGGTGGCGCATGTGCCGGGGGGTATGGCATGGAGGGCAAACGGAGCCCATGCCCAGACTTTGCCACCAACATCGTTGAAGGGACCCTCCTACCACCCACTGGAGCCAAGCGGGGCCGCTCTGTGCCCCTGCCTGCCCACAGCTCTTGGTGGGCACAACAGGCAGCTCCTGGGCAGGCAGGGGTGCAGCAGCACGGGGCTGGCAGTGCACCGAGGAGCAAAATGCACCCCTCAAATGTGTCCAGGGCCACCACTCCTCTGGCCCACCCCACACAATGCCATTGGTGTTAATCTCACACAGCCATCTAGCGGATTTAAGGGCCATACTGCCCCTCCCAGGCGGCCCCCCTTCCTTGAGGGTGGAAGACCTTAAAGGGGAAGTCCTCAGGTATGTCCCAATTCCTTCTTTCCAACTCATCCATCTATAGCCTTGGCCTGTACGCATGCAGCAACCTGGGGATATGGACCCCTAGTGCTCCTGGTGTGGTGAGAGAGTTCAGGTATACAACCCATATTCTTGCACTTGGGACCATAGCTGTCAACTTTTCCCTTTTTTAAAGGGAAATTCCCTTATTCCGAATAGGATTCCTCGCAAGAAAAGGCAAAGTTGACAGCTATGCTCGGGACAGTCTAGTCCGAACAAGAAAGATACTGCTCCAGAGGGGTTGGCAAACCCTGCAGATTCGTTCATTTATCGGGCTGCTTTCAACCGTTTGCTGGTATGTGCATATTGATGAAGGTGCATTCTGTGTGTGTGTGTGTAATCATTTTTATTTGATTTTTCAAATATAGATTTATAGGAAAACCAAATACATTTCCATATACAGTGGTACCCCAGGTTACATATGCTTCAGATTACATACTCCGCTAACCCTGAAATAGTACCTCGAGTCAAGAACTTTGCTTCAGGATGAGAACAGAAATCGTGCTCCGGCGGCGCGGCAGCAGCAGCAGGAAGCCCCATTAGCTAAAGAAAGTGGTGCTTCAGATTAAGAACAGTTTTAGGTTAAGAACGGACCTCCGGAATGAATTAAGTACTTAACCCTAGGAACCACTGTATGTATAGAGATTTCTCTGAATCTCGTGACTTCCCCCATCCCCTCAGTGGGTCCTTATGTCAATGTTTTCAACTGTGTATTATATCATAATCTATGTTTTATATCTATCCATATTATCCACCGTATTTGTTGTGCGATTCAAATCCTGCTAATGTTCTCATCTGCTTACAGTGGTCTCCTTATGAATTTCCCCCATTCTTTCCTGAAGTTTTTGTCTTCTTGGTTCCTGAGCTTTCCGGTCAGTTTTGCCATTTCAGTGTAGTTCATCAGCTTAGTTTGACATTCCTCTCTGGTAGAGACTCTTTCTTCTTTCCATCTCTGGGCTAGAAGCATCCGTGTGGCTGTTGTCACATACATAAAAAGTATTTTCTGCTCCTTTGGTGCATTTTAAATGCCATTTAAGAATGACATACCATATTTTTCGCTCGATAAGACGCACCTGACCATAAGACGCACCTAGTTTTTAGAGGAGGAAAGGGGGAAAACCCCGTTTTTGTGGGGATCAGCTCACAGTTGTGCAGCTTATTTTGCAAAGGGGGAAAGCCCCTTTTATGAGGATCAGCTCAAAGTTGTTGAGCTTACTTTGCAAAGGGAAAAAATCCTGTTTTTATGGGGTTCAACTCACAGTTCTGCAGCTTCTTTAGGAAAGGAAAGGGAGCCGTTTCTACAGTTTCCAGACAGATAATCTAATCAGCCAGTCGCTGGGGAAACAAACAGCCTCCGTCTGCAGAACATTCAACAATGGAGGCTTGGGCAAGGGGGTGGGGGCAGAAAGGGAACCAGCGATCGACCACACATTCACTCCATAAGACGCACAGACATTTCCCCTTACTTTTTAGGAGGAAAAGAGTGCGTCTTATGGAGCGAAAAATATGGTACTAGCCATCAATGTTATGCTCTGCGTCCACTCTCAGAAGTCATATGCCTCGGTCTGCTAGCTGCGAGGAATCACAGGATGTGAAAGTGCTGTTGCTGATACATTCTGCTCACAAGCTTCCCATTGGCATCCTATTGGCCACTGTGAGAGCAGGATGCTGGGCTAGAGAGGCCTGATCCAGTCTGGTTTTTTAAAAAACAAAACAAAATTCTTATGTAGTGTTTGCTTCAAACCAAAGAACGTAAACCATACGAGGTTCCTGCAGCAATTACACCATCTCGATTAGCGAAGTTCTGCCCTCAGTGCCTCAGAGACCCATGCAGGTCCCCAATGGATTAGGTAGAAAAGTGAAGGTTGAGCAACCTTGACTGTTCTAAAGCAACCCTTGAATTCTCAAATATTTGCCTAAACCTGTAAGAAATTGCAAAAGAGGGACAAAGTAACCTGGCCACACCACGGGGGAACAGAAAGTATTCCCAACGAGAGAAAGAGGGTGAAGTATGGAGCTACATTCAGAAAAGGGTACTGTACATTGCTCTTTTCCACATCTTATTTTTTTATTGTGTCCCTTTACGATCGACTGAAAGTCCCCTGGGCAAAGACTTATATCACTTTCAGATGCTGCGCAGCATCTATAGCACTCCTGCCATGATTTCCCTAATCATTCCTCTCGCATGTTATCATATCCAGCAAGAATATATTTCTCAATGAAGCAAAGGGTTTATATCTCCCAACTTGAGCAAGATCTATTGCAAATGTATGCCAAGTAGAATGAAAAACATACATTGAAATCCTTTTTGTGGGAATGTCCTCATATCGAACATTCGGGTGAATGATGCTAGCTAATGTGACCCAAAGCTCTGAATTAAGGAGACGCGAAATTCCATTAGACTGGTGACTTATGGCTGCTCAAATTGCTTCGTGACCTCCAAAGTTACAGGACAGATGTAGTTTGCTTTCTTTATTTACTGATCCTGGCTCATAAATGGATTGGACAATAGAGACAGCTCCCTTGTGAGATTCTTAGTTGAACTTGACTGAAGAATGCCTTCCCCTTGAAAACATAATATTTAGTTTCCAGCAGGGAACAGTGGGATACTGTTTGGTGCTATCTGGGGAAGAAGAAAATTAGATTATCATGATAGCGCTAAAACGGCTTTGTGTGGACAAAATACAAGACCTACCTAGACAGAGATTTCTCCACAATGGGTCTTTCTTTCTTTCTTCTTGGGAACTGCTTCCGATGATACATGCTGAATGCAGCTAATTTATCATTTTCAGTCTACATTTGAGAGCCACAAAAAAGACCTGAGCATTGATTTCATGGGCCCTGAGCAGGCTGCACTCTGTTTTACGTCGTGAAGAAGAGTCTATGAACCATTTTAAAGGAAGCATTGGACAAATAAGCTGTGATCCCCCAAACATGTGGCTCAGAAACTGCATAGGAGAACCAATACCATAGACTAACTATTCCGCTCTGTGACAGCATTTGCAAAACCTCTGACAAAAATCTGCTTGGAAGCACACATTTTAATTTAGTTTGTATAACATAAAGGTAAAGATAAAGGGACCCCTGACCATTAGGTCCAGTGGTGGCTGACTCTGGGGTTGCGGCGCTCATCTCGCTTTATTGGCCGAGGGAGCCGGCGTACATGTGGCCAGCATGACTAAGCCGCTTCTGGCGAACCAGAGCAGTGCACAGAAATGCTGTTTACCTTCCCGCCTAAGCGGTACCTATTTATCTACTTGCACTTTGGCGTGCTTTCGAACTGCTAGGTTGGCAGGAGCAGGGACCGAGCAACGGGAGCTCACCCCGTCATGGAGATTCGAACCGCCAACCTTCTGATCGGCAATTCCTAGGCTCAGTGGTTTAACCCACAGCGCCACCCACATCCCATGTGTATAACATACCCTCCAACAATTCTCTGATGAAAATAGGAATGTCCTATTCAACAACAACAGAAACAAAAACAACTTTATTGTTTATGCCCTGCCCATCTGACTGGGTTGCCCCAGCCACTCTGGGCAGCTTCCAACATATATAAAAACATAATAAAACATTAAACATTAAAAAACTTCCCTATAGAGGGCTGCCTAAGATGTCTTCTATAGGTTGCATAGCTACTTTTGTCCTTGGCTCAGGAGTTGCATAACTCCATACCCTCCAACATTTATCCAATGAAAATAGTCCTAAGGAAAAGTGGGACATTCTGGTATCAAATCAAAAACCGGGACGGCTTCTGTAAATCCGGGACTATCGCTGGAAAATAGGGACACTTGGAAGTTCTGGTGCACAAATTGATTTTGAAATAATATTTTTACGGTACAGTGGTACCTCGGGTTACATACGCTTCAGGTTACATACACTTCAGGTTACAGACTCCACTAACCCAGAAATAGTACCTTGGGTTAAGAACTTTGCTTCAGGATGAGAACAGAAATTGTGCTCCGGCGGCACGGCGGCAGCAGGAGGCCCCATTAGCTAAAGTGGTGCTTTAGGTTAAGAACAGTTTTAGGTTAAGAACGGACCTCCGGAACGAATTAAGTACTTAACCCGAGGTACCACTGCAATTTGTATATTGTGAATGGTCAACATTCTCAGCAGACACAATGTCCCACAGAGTGGGCCAGAAATGTACGGTGCTACCTTGGGTTAAGTACTTAATTCGTTCCAGAGGTCCGTTCTTAACCTGAAACTGTTCTTAACCTGAAGCACCACTTTAGCTAATGGGGCCTCCTGCTGCTGCCGTGCCGCCGGAGCCCGATTTCTGTTCTTCTCCTGAAGCAAAGTTCTTAACCTGAAGCACTATTTCTGGCTTAGTGGAGTGTGTAACCTGAAATGTATGTAACCTGAAGAGTATGTAACCCAAGGTACCACTGTATTTTATTGCACATTTAGATTTCCTCCTCTTACATACAGTGAGACATTGTAATACAGACTCAGTAGATTATCAGTCAGGGCCATGATTCAAAAATGTGATGACCCCTGGGGCACACCACACCCACCACACACCCCTTCCTATGGCAGGTGGGAAGCAGCACCTTTCATGCCTCGTTTTAAAAAAATAGATTTATACTTTCCAAGTTTATACATTTTATTAATTTTACAATCATTTTGACATTTCAAAGCTTGACTTCCTTCCCCCTCTTTCTGCAGTTCCTTAAATTTATTTTTAATATCTTCTGCATATCGAAATTAACTTAATTTGCTCATTTATTCGTCTACTCTAAATATATACTCTTATGAAACTGCAGGTTATTACAATAATCCTCCCAATATTCTTATCTGTTTACAGTTTATCTGTAAATATTCAATAAACCGTTTCCATTCTTTAAAAAAGTTTGTTATCTTGATTTCTTATTTTTCTGGTTTTGCCATTTCTTCATATTCCATAAGTTTTTGTATCCATTCTTCCTCTGCTGGGACTTCTGCTTCTTTCCATTTTTGGACAAGTAACGTTCTTGCCACTGTAGTAGCATACATGGATCAGTTTCTATACAGTTTAGGCAGTTCTGTTCCTATAATTCCCAAAAGAAAAGCTTTTGGTTTGTTTGTTTTTTTACAAACGTTATTTTAAACATCCTTTTCATTTCATTATATATCATTTCCCAGTATGCCTTAACCTTGCTACAAGACCACCACATATGATAAAAAGAACTTTCTTTCTCTTTACATTTCCAGCACTTATTTGATTTAGATTTATACATTTTTTGCCAATTTACTCGGTGTTAGATGCCATCAATATATCATTTTCATATAATTTTCTCTTTGACCATAAAGGTAAAAAGGTAAAGGACCTCTGACAGTTAAGTCCAGTTGCGAACGACTCTGGGGTTGTGGCACTCATCTTGCTTTACTGGCCGAGGGAGCCGACGTTTGTCCACAGACAGTTTTTCCAGATCACGTGGCCAGCATGACTAAGCTGCTTCTGGTGAAACCAGAGCAGCACACGGAAACGCTGTTTACCTTCCCACCAGAGTGGTACCTATTTATCTACTTGCACTTTGACGTGCTTTTGAACTGCTAGGCTGGCAGGAGCAGGGACCAAACAATGGGAGCTCACCCCGTCATGGGGATTTGAACAGCCGACCTTCCGATCTGCAAGCCCAAGGCTCAGTGGTTTACACCACAGTGCCACCCGCGTCCCTTATAAAGGTAAAAAGGTAAAGGACCCCTGACAGATAAGTCCAGTCGAGAATGACTCTGCATAACATGATGTAAATTCCACAATCATTCCCATGCTTCCATGTCTATATTATGACCAACGTCTATTGCCCAATGTATCATTGGGGATTTTACTTGCTCATCCTTTGTCTCCCATTCTAATAATAATAATAATAATAATATTAATAATAATAATATTAATAATAATAATAATAATGCCTCCTAGGACTTGGCAAGAGAAGGCAGCATAAAAAAATATGGCGGCCCAAAATGGAGTCTCCACTTTTACTCCCCTTCCCTAAGAGATATCATATTAAAGTGTGGAGTATCTTTTGGCTTTCACAACTTTAGAAGCAATTTCTTCTAAAGTGAGACCGAATGAGATTATTGTTTTTCTTTCACCACAGCCTGATTAAATTTGGCGAGGAGACGAGGGATCAGATTCAAATTCTCTGAAATTATATGGCCTTAAGCTTCCAGTTGGCGATCTCTGTTATATATAATTAGGCCGAGGGGATTTAAAATTACTGACGTTTGCACTTGGTTAACAACACCAGTGTTTCCAGCATGGCAGTTCGTGGTTTTTTTTTGTGATTTTCTTTTTTCAGTGGAAGTCATAAGTAATGCTTTTGCAGCTATAATGTGGCTTTAGAAAGGGAGCCTCACTTTTAAATGTGTAAAAAAATTCACGACACATTACAAATCAGGGTCTGGCTGTTTAAAGCTGGAGTTTAAAAATACATTTCCAGAGGGTAAGTTCTTATGCACAGAAAGCAGAATAGAAAACTGTTTAATTCCCATTGCATTTGGGAATTAAAGAGAACAACACTCCAACTTCATTTTAAAATTGCTCCTGCCTTTTGTATAATCTTATCAAAGTGTGAAATATCAAAGCTATAAAACCTTCAGTTTAATAGGGATTTAAAAAATCTGTATAAATACAAGCTTGAAATTTTTCTGGAAACTAATCCCTATGAATTTCTTAGGGTTTTTTTTTCTTTTTTAAAAAATAAGGGATTCCCACTCCCCACTCCCAAAAGCAATATCAATACAGCTTGGCTATACATGCCTTATAATCAGAAAATTACTATCATTTGCTGCTTCAGTAAACAGAAAGAAAATAGCAACACACAATGGAGTTTTCATATCATATAACAGACATGAACGTACCAGCTGCTCCTTTTGCTGCGTATAATTATCTGTATTCCACAACATTTTTTTATCTTTTGGTTTCAATTTACTTGTACTGCTGGGATAGTTCAGTCCAGATATTGTGGATTACAACTCCCATCAATCCTGACCAATGACCATGATGGGAAGTGGAGTCCAAAACATCTGGAAGCTACCTCTGAATATATATTTGCCTGTGTCTTACGCATATTTACTTGGGAATACGTCCCATTGAACTCTGTGGATTTTTGAGTAAATATACGTAAGTTCAAGCAGCAAATAACATAGCTGGGTTTTTTGCTCTACCTCAAACCATGTGATGTATTTGTGTTGCAATGTTCTTGGCGGGCTTTAAGGTGGATCAATTTCCTTTTTCCAATAACTGTGAAGTATCGGGCGTGCTGTGATATCCTTTAAATAAGAGTATTTAAACATTTCCCCAAAGAAAGAAAGCTGATTGTATTGATTCATCTTTAAATCTTGTTCCTAAAAGCATTGCAGAAAAGACTTGGAAAGCATTTTTGAATGGCAGGGGATCGGAATGGAGAACTTTATTTGTACATGTTAAATTTGCTGTGTTTTAAAATAAATTTAAAGTGTGTGTGTGTGTGTGTGTGTGTGTGTGTGTGTTTAAATTAAACAAGACTGCTACCTTCTCCAATGCTTGGTGATTAGAGGTGATTATAAATGGAATCAAGAAATCCGCCATAGACATAAGAAAGAATAGACATGTGGAGGCTAATATGTCATTCAGGTCAGCTTTGCATCTTACAAATAGTTGTGCCTTTGACCATTTATGCCACTTGGCTTGGCTGGAAGACACTCATAACTTGAGCTGGAGCTGATCTACATGCATATGCCAGCTGATGACTCTGGACCAACTTTTGAATAAAGAAGAATTACAACTGGAATTTGGCTTAGCAAAGAGAGCTAATTGTCACTTTCTCAACTTAAGCACCTCACATCCATTTTGGAGACCTGCTAACAGGGCAGCATCTGCTCTGAAGGAATGGGTTTCCCAAACCCAAAACTGACTGTGCAGGCAGTTTGAAATAGGCACCAAAACCCCTATTTTCCTTAGCTAAAATCCATTAACTTGAGCTCTGAGTCAATGTATAAACAAAAACCTGGCTGTATAGACAAGTGCTTAGAGCCCTCTCCTTTATCAGTTTGTGACGGCAAGGATGGCCTTGACTGTACCAGTAGAACAGGGAAGACACGTCTGTGCCTTATGTTATATCCTGACCACAAAGACGCACAGACCTAGTCTGGGAACAGTGCCAGAGTGTGTTCCTGGAGATGGTGACCTCTTGCTCCAAGATAAGAGTAGGAGCAGGAAGATCCTTTTATGGTCAGAAGTACAGGAAGGAATATCCTTTTATGGCCAGAAGTATAGGAAGGAATACCCTTTTATGGTTAAGAGTACCGGAGCAGGAATATCTGTGATGTCAACCTGCGTGTACAAGCTGACGTGGCTGGATTCCTGGGGAAGGGGGAGAGGGTGCCTGGAGGATGTATATACTGCATGAAACTTCTCATTTCTTTGGACTTGCTGTGGACTGACCACGCAGGTGCCTTTCTGCTGTTCCGGAGAGCAGAAATAAAGAACTCTTTCTCTGAACCAACCCTCGGTGTCACTTGACTTCCTTCCTCCTGTCCGGGAGCAACGCAGAGCCCACCAATCGGTAAAGTCTAATAAGGCTACAGCTCCACCAAAACTCCTTGGAAGATCTGCTTGGGTTCCCTGGCTTGCCAAAGCCAGTGTCCTCTTTATACAGCTGGTTCTTAGACAGCTTTAAGGTGAATATATCATACCTTTCTGAAGAGTGAAATGGATCGTTGGAATGCCTCGTTCAACCGAAGCCCTGGCCCAGAGCATTCTTGTCTACTGAAAGATCCTCCTTTGATCTGATCGTATGTCTTATGCAACGAAAATGAATGTCGACATATCGGACACCACAGAGGCTCCACCACAAATTATTTTTGTCCTTGACATGTTGGAGATGTGGGGGCAGAAATCAGGGCCACGTGGAGTTGTGGAATTGCCCACTGCACACCTCTTTTGAGATCCAGCTCTGAGGGCCTTCTGGTGGTTCCCTCACAGCAAGAAGTGAAAATACAGATATCCAGGCAGAGGGCCTTCTCAGCAGTGGCGCCCACCCTGTGGAACGCCCTCCCATCAGATGTTGAGGAGATAAAGAACTATGCAACTTTCAGAAGACATCTGAAGGCAGCCCTGTATTGGGAAGTTTTTAATGTTTGATGTTTTATTATGCTTTTATATATGTTGGAAGCCGCCCAGAGTGGCTGGGGCAACCCAGTCAGATGGGTGGGGTCCAAATAAATTGTTGTTGTTGCTGCTGTTATATTGGAGTAAAATCTTGGTAGTTATCTTAGTCCTGGAAACCTTGCTGTATTTCAAAGATATACACATTTTGCTGATTACTATTTGGAATTTACCACTGAGTCATGCATACACTAGGGTCAGCCAAAGGCATACTGCTTCCACAATGGAAAGACAAGTCATTGCTTTGCACAGAATTAAGGATTCGCACTATCCTTATCTGAGCTGCCAATATAATGACGTGAGCATAAAGAAAAGAAATGTGAGAACATTTGGACAGTTTCCCCCCACGAGATTTATGCATCCCATTTGGCAGTAGAGTATATATGTGTCATTTGACCGTGAAGGGACTCCAAGGTTGATCTCAAAGCCTGGGTAAGTATATGAAGGAAGGAGAAATGCTTTAGGTAACCTGCATATATATATATATATATTTCTGTTTTACAATTTAAAGTACTCATTTTTATATCCTTAAGAGATCAATGACTTCCCTTCTTCTCTTTCCATGGTTCATTTTACATATTACAAATCCCTTCATATTTTACAGAAACTATACCATTCAGTATTCCATTATTACATCCATCATAACTTATTTACACTGTTGAATTTATCTTAATGCTGCCAGCGTTTTCAGCTGTACACAGTTATTTCCCATATATTCAATAAACATTTTCCAATCTCCTCTAAACATATGTTCTTCCTGTTCTCTTATTCTATATGTTAAGTCTTCAAGTTGTCCATATTCTGTCAACTTAAGTTGCCACTCTTCTTTGGTCGGGACCTCGCTCGTTTTCCATTTTTGGGCTAACAAAACACGAGCTGCAGTAGTAGCATACATTAATAACCTTTTTCGACACCTGGGAATTTAAGTCTGAATTATCCCCAACAGAAAGGACTCTGGTTTGGGGAGCAAAGTAACCTGCAATTTGAACACTGCAGGACAGATGTACACATACAGAGCTCATTCAGATGCTGGGGTAGTTGGAGGATAATGGTGCAACCTTTTAAGAACACTACATTTCAGGATCCAACTAGTTATTCACATGTTTGAATGTACATTCACAGCAATAACGCCATGTAAAACCATCATGCCTAAGAAAAGTATGTTTGCTTCAGTTCCTCACAAGGAAGCCTATCCATGAAGCACCTCAGATGGCAGAAGCCCAGAGGCAGCACCCCATCGTCACCTGACATGCCCTGCCATTCCATCACTAGTGGAAAAGCTGCGTCGACCCCGGTGCTGATTTCCAGCGAGATCTCACTGAAATGTCAAGGTGCGCTGAAGATCTTGCGAAATTTCCAGTGAGATCTCACCGGGAATTGGTACAGATGCCAGAGCTGCTTCTCTGCTGGTGCCAGCAGTGCAGTGTCATAAAACAGTTGTTGTTTAGTTATGTCCGACTCTTCGTGACCCCATGGACCAGAGCACGCCAGGCACCTCTGTCTTCCACTGCCTCCCGCAGTTTGGTCAAACTCATGTTAGTAGCTTTGAGAACACTGTCCAACCATCTCGTCCTCTATCGTCCCCTTCTCCTTGTGCCCTCAATCATTCCCAACATCAGTCTTTTCCAGGGAGTCTTCTCTTCTCATGAGGTGGCCAAAGTATTGGAGCCTCAGCTTCAGGACCTGTCCTTCCAGTGAGCACTCAGGGCTGATTTCCTTCAGAATGGAGAGGTTTGATCTTCTAGCAGTCCATGGAACTCTCAAGAGTCTCCTCCAGCATCATAATTCAAAAGCATCAATTCTTCAGTGATCAGCCTTCTTTATGGTCCAGCTCTCACTTCCATACATCACTACTGGGAAAACCATAGCTTTAACTATACGGACCTTTGTCGCAAGGTGATGTCTCTGCTTTTTAAGATGAAAAACAGGAAGGGACAACCACAAGGGTCATGTAGCTCAACCCCCAGCAAAGCAGTAATCTTTTGCCCAACTTGGGTTTCAAACCCACGACCCTGAGATTAAAAGTCTTTTGCTCTACCAGCTGAGCTAGGAAGAATCATGCCAGTGGAGGTGAGCGGTCTGGCAGTGGCGCTGCAGAGCAGCGCAACACTACTTGTTTGGCTCAAGCAGCAAAACAGGACACACTGCTCCTGGTTCCTGCAGTGCAAATTTTCCATCATAGCAGATAAACAGCACCCTCTCCTTGCCATTCCAAAATTACCTCTTTGTACAGAATACTCTTGGCACAGCAGTGCAACCCAGCTAGGCACCCATTGGATCTATTGCAAACAGTTTTTCATGGCTTCCCTACCCTTTCTGCCCCTTTGATCTTCCCCACAACTCACCAATCATAGCTTTTACTTGAGCTAGGCAAGATGGGTCTGGAATTCATGGCTGCTTCCATACGGGGGCTAGATTAGGTCCCAGGGCTGGAGGAAGTCCTCTAACTGATGGTTAGCGGTGTGCGGTGAATTTTTTTGTAGGGGAACAGTTACTGTAGTTAGGGCCAAGAGATGCCATCTCGCAATGGCGATTGACGGGCTGATATTGCGTGCCTTGGCAGAAGCTTGTTGGGCCTTTGGGAAGGTGGTGTAGGGCTCTTTGACCTGTCAGAGCATCGTGCCTCCCTCCCTAAGTCAGGTAGAAGCTTCCTGGGCTTTGAGAAGGAAGCACCAGGCTTTAATACTTTAATACTCCAATTTGCCGGGAACATTTAGGAGACCACCCTAGTTCCTGTGGTCCACATGTCACTGGTTCTGAATTCCTTACATGGCATTCATCACAACTCCCTTGATGCAATGGGAAGTATTGCTCCAATTTGGTTCTGAAGTTCAAACCGACGAATCACAGCAATTGACTCAGTTTAGCTCTCCTTTTTTGAGCTACGTAGTCCAAACTAAGTTGCTTCCAGGTGACAGAACACCAGAGGGATCAGTCATACTTTCCCGATTCGACATAGCCTTCCGTACATCTAGGACACGTTCAGCAGGGCGGTGCTGAGATAAGTTCAAAGAAATTCATCAGAGCCATTTAACCAGGAATTACTTCAGCAACTCCTTAAAATCTATCTTGGTCTATAAAGCACAGCAATCTCCCCTTTGATCCTGTAAAGATAGAACCCAAGTATGCTATACATAGCACTGTGATGCAAGCCGAGGAGACGGTTGAAAGTGAAGCATGCCACAGAGTTATACAAAGCATCCAAACACTGCAGGAATGAGATCGAAGGCTCATGATAAACAATATACTCCTAGCAGGCTCATCATTTCATTATGGTTCAGCTCGGGAGAAATCTTGGCCTTAAAAAGGCACCAAGTCAATAGAACGAACTAAAGTGATCAGAGGCAAGGCCGGAGGACCAGAGGGTTTAAAAGCCAAAGTGCAGACATTCAAAGATATTTTCCATGACCGTCATTTCCCAGGTCTTCCCTTTCCCATGTCAAAGTTTCCTCCAGGGAGACTTCCTTAAGCTTTCGGTATACTGAAATCTTCTGCATAAATTCCTGAACGAGAGATAAGAGATTAGCGAGAAATGAAAATGCAGAGAATCTTCTTTGCTGAGTAACGGCAGTGACTATACAAGGGAAAAGGCAGGAGCCACCCATCGCTAGTTCTGTTTTCCGAGGCAAAACAACCCAAAAGTAAGATATGTTTTCCAAATTGAAATTTGCATGGTTCCGTGTGTACGCCCAGCTGTTCACGTCACTCCAGCCTAGAGATTCTAGTGCTCTTCAGGCATTCATTACACTTGAGGCAGGGCAGAGAGGAAGAGAGTGAGAACTCATCTGCTTCTCAAGGCAAAAAAAAAAAAAAAGGAGGGGGGGAGTGTAATTGAGAAAAGAGAATTTGAAGCAGAAGAGGTGGAAGACTCACAGAGAGTGCCCTTTCCTACCAAGGTCTTCAAGCCCAAGTCCCTGGTGGGAAGAGAGGCTGCAGCAGGAACTGAGACACAGATTGTCGGTTCTCTGCAGGAATCCTGGCATTTGCAGTGAAGTCTTGGTCCCCTGTGAGGAAAGATGTCTCCCTGGGGTTGCGCATAGTGCTTCTGCCACTTTGCCCCCTTCTCCTTCCTCAAGGAAAGTGTCTTCGCCCTGGGAAAGAGAGAGGGGGAGAAGGAAGCAGCTGATAACAGGAAATGTTCACAGCACTGGTACATGCAGAATCAGCATGGCACAGGTGCCTGGCAAAGAGTGCTCACTTCAGTTCTGCTTACAATCTGAGCAGGGGTGCTCAGCTCTGCAACTAATCCCCTGCTCACATTCTCACAGTAACTCTAATGCATATGTGGTTAGACTCCAGATGAGGCTGAGCTCTGTAACTTCCATCAGCCTCAGGCATCATGGTCAGGGATGAAGGGAGTTGGACAGCCCTAGTGTGGGACGTGGGTGGCGCTGTGGTCTAAACCACTGAGCCTCTTGGGCTTGCCGATCAGAAGGTCAGCGGTTCGAATCCTCACGACGGGGGGAGCTCCCGTTGCTCTGTCCCAGCTCCTGCCAACCTAGCAGTTTGAAAGCTTACTAGTGCAAGTAGATAAATAGGTACCGCTGTGGCGGGAAGGTAAACGGCATTTCCGTGCGCTCTGGTTTCCGTCACGGTGTCCCGTTGCACCAGAAGCAGTTTAGTCATGCTGGCCACATAACCCAGAAAGCTGTCTGTGGACAAACGCCGGCTCCCTCGGATTGAAAGCACGATGAGCGCAACAACCCCACAGTCACCTTTGACTGGACTTAACTGTCCAGGGGTCCTTTACCCCCCCCCTTTTTTATACCTTTAGTGTGTGAGCAGTAGACTAACTCTTCTCTGCTTCTTCTATCTGGGATCCAGATTCCCAGTTAACCCCATGCTCGATCCATGGGGAGTTTCCTGACATCAAGCATGCAGGAGTTGGTTCCCAAGACTGAACAGAAATATTTAGAGCTACCCCTGCAGCAAATATAATATACACAAACGTCGGTAGTGTTAGAGCAAACATTATATTTTCTCTTTTCAGTCACTTTGATTTTAAATTGTTTCAAAATAATTTTAAAGCTGTTGTTTGCATCCATCTGTCCCGAGAGACAGTGAAGTTTGCCTCCGGGTAAGCAGCACCGAAGTGACCTCTCTGGGGCGCAAGCCTGGGCAGTTTGTATGGAGGTCCTAGGCTGCCCCGATGACAAGATGACTCTCAGTCTCACTGATGTGGTCCAAAGGAAAATAGAGCTGTTATGTACTAAGCTTGGATCCTAGAACAATAGGCAAGTAGGATCCTAGAAGCAACAGCTGATTGGATTTCAGGAAAAGACCAATCAGGCTCCAGGAGGGAAGCAGAATCAGCCAATCAGATGAGACTCATTGTGTAAATAATGTATATAAAAGCCTGAGGTTTGGGGGACAAGTCAATCACTGTTTTACAAGCTGCAATAAAGAGCATGAAATCACTACAGGACTCCGAGTATATTTCAAGAGCGATACCTTTGGCCCCAGCTTGGCTGTAAGAGTTGCCGGAAGGAGGCGTATAATACTCATATTGGACTATAAGCACTCTGCTGTGAAGTGCCATGCCAACATAGAAGTTCCATAAGAATAACCAAAAGGTCCTGGGTTGACCCCCTTCTCAGCCTCACTGATGTGGTCCAACCACCTTAGAACTCCACTCCAGATTTGTGGAGGGTTTATTCACTTATAAGTGGAAACCCCCCTTTTAAAAGTACATATTTTCCTCCGGCGTGTTTTCGGCTTGTTTCCAAACAGAGCATAATTGAAAAGGACTTTCAGAATTTTCAGAATGGCTAACACTTCCGGTTACACTACATTGCTTTACTTCCATGGGAACGTTCTCCCTGATTCTTTTCCATTTTCAGTGTCATGGAAATTTCACGGAAGTTGACAGTCCAGCAGAAAGAAGCGCTCCTCGGGGACTGTTCATTAAGGCTGCAGAGCCTGCCAAACACTCATATGTCAAGGCTGCCTTCTTGCCAGAAGTGCTTGCTCATGCTTTATGTCCAATGCATGCTCCGCAATCCATCACTTAAACGAGGGAGAAATAATAGAACGATCACGAAGCACATTCACACCTCTTTTAGACTGAGGCTCTGCACACACTCAGTGGGGCTCGCTTCTGAGTAGATGTAAAAGGTAAAATGCAAAGGACCCCTGGATGGTTAAAGGTGACTATGGGGTTGCGGCGCTCATCTCGCTTTCAGGCCGAGGGAGCCGGCCTTTGTCCACAGACAGATTTCTGGGTCATGTGGCCAGCATGACTAAACTGCTTCTGGCACAGCAGGACACCGTGACAAGTACCAGAGTGCATGGAAATGCCGTTTACCTTCCTGCTGCAGCCGTACCTATTTATCTACTTGCACTGGTGTGCTTTCGAACTGCTAGGTTGGCAGGAGCTGGGACAGAGCAATGGGAGCTCACCCCGTCATGTGGATTCGAACTGCCAACCTTCCGATCTGCAAGCCCAAGAGGCTCAGTGGTTTAGACCACAGCGCCACCCTCTTATAGTATAGGATATAGAGGATTGTATATATAGTATAGGATTATATATAGTATAGAATATATAGGATTGCACTGTGTATGTGTATCCAAAGCTTCAGGATATTCAACATTAATGTTTAAATGCTCATGACCCTGCTTAAAAACATATACAAAATCAAAAGCAGGATTTCAATGCCATCAAGGTGGTTTCAAAAAGATCCCTTTTTGGGAAATACCGGAGCAAATGTGGCCTGACTGCACTGGCTGCCAATTAGGTTCCGGGCTCAACTCAAAGTGCTGGTTTAATAATAATAATAATAATAATAATAATAATAATAGTTGTTGTTATTATTATTTTATTTCATTTATACCTTGCCCATCTGGCTGGGTCGGCCCAGCTACGATGGGTAGCTTCCAACACATATAAAAATATAATAAGAACCCCAAACATTAAAAGCTTCCTGATACAGGGTTGTCTTCAGATGTCTTCTAAAAGCTATGTAGTCTTTGAACTATAAAGCCTTAAACAGCTCTGGGTTGTAATACCTCATGGATCGCCTCTCCCCATATGAACTGACCCAGACCCTGCAATCA